CTGCCCTCCTGGCATTGTGAGCTCCCCAGCCCATCCCCAGGCTGCACTGCATTCCCAGTCAGGGCAGTTCCTGGACCCTCCATGTACAGCCCATGTCACGGTCTCTCCCCCAGATTCAAGGGCAAACGGGACATTGAGGCACTCAGCTCAGCCCTCATACTCCCCTGCCACTGACCCTGAGAAGGGGCAGCTGGCACCAGGGAGTCTTTGAGCAGAACCTCGGCCCATCCTGCAAGGTCCTTCCTGGGGAGACTGGCATGAGGCAAGGGCCTCAGCTCCTGAAAATCCCCAGACTCCCACAGGAGGGGAAGGGACTCCGGGGACAGGCAGAAGGAAGGTTTGTGGGAAGTCAGTCGCCCTCCACTGCCCAGGCTTATGGGTGGGCTGAGCAGATGGAGCCACTGCCCAGTGCCGTCTCCCCATGCCCTGACTCCGAGTGACACCACTGACTGCTGCCCTTGCAGCTCCAGCCATAGACACGTCCCAGCCTTAACCTGGATGCACTTCATTGGTGTGATGGTTAATTTTCAGTATCAGCCTGACTGGATTAAAGGACACCTAGAGGCCCAGCACAGTGGCTCACACCTATAATCCCAGCACTTGGGGAGGCCGAGACAGGTGGATCATGAGGTCGAAAGATCGAGACCATCCTGGCAAACATGGTGAAACCCCGTCTCTACTAAAAATACAAAAATGAGCTGGGTGTGGTGGCACACGCCTGTAGTCCCAGCTACTCAGGAGGCTGAGGCAGGAGAATTGCTTGAACCCAGGAGGCAGAGGTTTCGGTGAGCCCAGATCGTGCCATTGCACTCCAGCCTTGGTAACAAGAGCAAAACTCCATCTCAAAAAAAAAAAAAAAAAGAAAGGAAGAACACCTAGACAGCTGGTAAAGCATCCCTTCTGGGTGTGCCTGTGAGGCTGCTTTCACAGGATACTTGCGTGTGAGTTCGTGGCTGAGTGGGAAGATGCCCTGTCAATGTCGGAGGGTACCATACAATCAGCTGGGAGCCCAGTAGGACAAAAAGGCAGAGGAAGGGCATATTTGCTGTCTCTCTCCTGGAGCTGGGACAGCCTTCTTCTCCTGCCCTTGGGTATCAGAACACTAAGGGTCTTGACCTTCAGGCGCTGCGACTTGCACCATCAGCCCCCCAGGTTCTCAGACCTTCAGGCTCAGACTCAGTCACACCTTCAGCTTCCCTGGTTCAGAGACTTTTAGGCTTGAACTGAGCTGTGTTCCCAGCAGCCCTGGGTCTCTAGGTGGCCTGTGGTGGGATTTCTCAGGTATGGGAGCCAATTCACCTACTAAATCCCCTCTCGAGGTCTCATGCAGCTTGTTAGTAGTGTCAGCTGAGATTTCTGGAAGGGCTGGGCTTGAGAGAGGATCAACATGCCTTTGGCTAGAAATTTACTACATCCATCCTTGGAAGAGGAAAAGAAAAAACACAAAAAGAAACACCTTGTAAAAAGTCCAAATTCTGACTTTTTGGATGTAAAGCATCCAGGTTGCTACAAGATCACGATGGTTTTCAGCCGAGCTCAGACAGTGGCGTTTTGTGTGGGTTGTTTAACAGTGTTGTGCCAGCCAACAGGAGGGAAGGCCAGACTCACAGAAGGGTGTTCACTAAGAAGAAGGCAACACTAGGGCTGGGGGTGGTGGCTCACACCTATAATCCCAGCACTTGGGGAAGCCAAAGCGGGTAGATTACAAGGTCAAGAGATCGAGACCATCCTGGTCAACATGGTGAAACCCCTCTCTACTAAAAATACAAAAATTACCTGGGTGTGGTGGTGCATGCCTGTACTCCCAGCTACTCGGGAGGCTGAGGCAGGAGAATTGCTTGAACCCAGGAGGCAGAGGTTGCGGTGAGCCAAGATCTCACCATTACACTCCAGCCTGGGTAACAAGAGTGAAACTTTGTCTC